GGACCGACGGATTGAGGGCCAACTCGTGTAGACAATAGGACAGTGCGAAGCATGTGGTCTGATGGCCAGCCAATAAAAATCCGAACGCATTGGCTATCATTTCACTTTCGGTCAAACGTTTATTCACGAACTTCTTATTTGGACCCTGGGTATCTATATTATGACAGATTTTGGGATTAGTATGTTACTAATATTTATAACTAAATGTTTGTAGTAAACAAATTGTTTGATTAAATACTATATGAATGAAAATAATTAATTAATAAAATTGTGCTTGTATAACAATAAAATATAAATATTCACCTTGATCAAATTTGTCAGTAAGCCGAGCATCCATAAATAGTTGAATAAAGTCATCATACCGTTCATCAGGATATTGAAGTCGTCGTGAAATAACATTTCGGATAATATTCACGAAATAACCGTTTGATCGAGATTTCCAAAACATTCCCAACAAACCATGCATTGATCTTGGTAACATAATTGTCATTAAATCGCGAAACCCGCTGTAAACTAACATTTTCTGCCCGTTTTCTACGAATAAATTATTCCCCGATTGACCATAAATATCAATTTCAATACCAAACGCTTGGCGTGCGTTTACGTCCAAGGTGAGCTTATTAAATAATTTCAGTGTGTCCATGTCGATGCATTCATTATTCATTAATAGATTGTCAATGTGTTTTGTAAAGTTATCAAGGCAGTCCTTTATTTTGGGTTCAAATCTACGAATTTTGCCCAAAGTAAATAAAGGACTCACGATTGAACGAACTCTACGCCATTGGTCACCGTGTAGTTGAGGAAGATTTTTGCTCATAATGTTATCGGGGGAACGCCATACCTTAGCGCGATCAGTGAACACGTGGAAATCCTTTACTAAGATCAGTTTTATAAGTTCCGGATCAGCGATATTTAGAACCGACATAGTTCCCATAAAATGCCTATGGGTATTTTTTAAATAAAATGATATATTTTACAATATACAGATTATGAATAGTTCTTATAATTGATATAATTACCCATAAATGTTCCCAAATGTATTATACCACTCTAGTTCACGAATGTGCCTCGGGGTGAAAAATGTTTGCAAATAGTTCCCAAATATTGGAATTGGTGTTGGACCCTGTATACCTTGTTTAGTCCAATAATCAAAAGTGTTTGAATACTTTCTAATTTAAGAAAAATCTTATTAAATGTATGTGTTGTTAATATAAAATTTACCTCTATGTGTTTATAAACACAAAAATCAATATCAATATTAATGTGATGTATATAAAAGCCATTATGAATATAAATAGTAGAATCTATCTGGATCTTGAAACTATAAATTATATAAGGATTCAATTATTAAAATAAAAAAAATAAATATATAAATATAAATATAATTACTATATTCAGTTAACTTACTAAATTATATTATAAATTAAAAGTGGAATAAACAATAAAATAGTTAATAGAAATTTAATTAGACTACTTGGAAATATTTGGTGTTCGTACTGCATAGACTGTAAATATAATAATTTGCAAAAATAATTAAAATCCGCATGGTCATTCGTAATGTAGAATCATGTTACTCGATAACCAATTGGCGTTATTCTTAGGTGTTGCCAACGCTTATAACCAGAGAATTACAAAACATTACAATTTGTAATATTCTTACATATAGTATAAAATTACTAATTCATCATGTTATTCACTTTTGGATCACACTGCTTGTAACTGGTTCAATTCAAATTTCAAGTCGTTACCACAATGCACTTCTAGAGTAACAAGTGATTTAACAGACCCAAGGTTGACATTTATAATACATGTAATCTATAAGCTTTTCGTACGAATAGACAATAACTTGAATTTATTGAGAAAGAAATAAATGTTTGAATTGTTATTTGTATTATTTTTCATTGTACAGTAACAATTATTGATCGCTATATTTTGTGAATCTCTTTTAAATACATATTTTCAATTTACAAGCAACCTAACCTAACCTAGATATTAATAAAAATATGATTGTCATTTTTCGGGAGTCATAACAATAAAATTGATGCGCGATCAGCCAAATATTTGACATTTTATTTAAATTAATGGTAGTGTATAATCTTAATGCTTGATAAAAATGTTTGCCACTAGAAGTATAACAGTTATATACACTTGTATATCAGTAAAGGAAGTTCAAAAAGAATGGGAAGAAATATTCCCGAAACTTAAATATTGCCGGAAAGAAGATTGATTATGAGTATAGATAAGTTTACATACTTCATTATAATTCAATATATGCTACTTAAGTGCAACTTTCTAAACTTGTTATCTATACTCATAATCAATCTTTATTCCGACAATATTTAAGTTTCGGGAACATTTCTTCCCATTCTTTTTGAACTTCCTTTACTGATATAATGATTTCAATTATCAGCAATATTTTGTGATCCGGGTGTGTTATTGCTTAAAAATGATTTGAAAATTATTGCAAGCTCATTTACAGTTGAAAATATAATCAAAAATTTAAAAATAAAAAACCAGACAACCAATCGGTTGCAAGAAATTGGTTGGCAACAGGTATTGAGGGCACCGATAGCCTAGAAATCAGAAAACAATTTTGAATGAATCGACAAACCAAATTAAACTGGATAAAACTGGGAAAATTTCAATGTTCTAAATGACCTGGCTATTTAAAATGCCAGTCCACACAACTAACTGTTGCTTTTAAGTGGGGGACAAAGAAACAAACAAATAATTGAATGACTGATAACATTATATTTACTAAACATCAAAGTTGTCGGTGCTGTCGAAACACAAACACATACTTGAGTTCATAGCAAAAAAGGCCTCCCCTCTGAGGCATTACTTTTGGGTGATTTGACTATTTGTTGCGATAGCCAAGAATTTCATGATAACTGTACATAAGAATCATGTAGTGAGGGTCATTTTAGGAAGTTTTATTTTAATTACAAATAACTATATGATTGGTTCGCAACTTATTAAACAAATTGAGGTTCTGATGAAATCAATGAAATGAGACATTTTGAGAGCACATTCTCTAATAGATTATGAATTTATAAATTATTCAAAAATATAAAGTGATTGATTGTAATTACAATTAAATAGGTTATGTGTATACAATTAACAAATGTAAAACATATACCCATTAGTAGAGATATGTTCATACGGTTCTACCCCAAAAGGCCTAAAACCGAAAAGGCCTAAACTCAAATAACTAACTGACCAGTGGACATATTTTTAATTAGATTAGTGGAATAGACGTGTCTTGACCCAACCTAACCTAGCCTAACTTAAATTAAGCCAAATGACCATTGGTCAGTTAGTTATTCAAGTTTAGGCCTTTTGGGTGAGTCCCTGTTCATACATATGAAAGATAAATTGTTGAGTGTGAGTGGGCTCTCCCTTACTAGTTAGTCCCACTCATAACCCCGGGGCCCAAATAATTATAGTTCAGTGCCAACAAATAGCCGCACAATTATAGGTTCACAACGAGAGTTCAATATATGAGAAGAATTCGTAGATAAAAATTAGTTCAAATGCCTGTCACTTGTAAGGCATGTACACAAAACCACATTCAGTAGTGCTCTAGAAATTGAGTGAGAAAGCAATTGACCATTTTTACAATTAAAACCACCTTGGTCTACATGACCAGAAAGTATCGATATAATATTTGCCTGGAAATTGATGACCAAATTCTGTACCAGAAGTTCACTCACTTTATGTTACCCGAGAGGTCATCGTTAGAAATGGACCCAGAATTTAATTAATGAGACAAATGTTAACACTGAACATTTTTATTCAAGACAAATTATTCAAATGTTCTTTAATTAATATTTTTATCTCAATTAACTTGCTTCCATATCCTAATGATTTCAAAATATCTATAAATTTTATACTTTATGTGATTAAGTTTATAATTTAAAAATTTAGTAGGTATTGCTGAACTGACCCATATTTCGTGGCCCTTAGCCCATTGGCCCACTATTACAGAGAAGCTTACCTAAATGAACCTGACATACTTAACTGGTATTGCAGTGAAGCAAATCCAGTCTTGCAGTGAAACAAACCAATTTATAGTGTAAATAAATTAGGTTAGGGTTGGTGGGCTTTCGTGTAGTAGTGGGTCACGAAATAAGGGCCAGTTCAGTAAATCCCTAAGTTGTCAAGTTCTATTTGAAAATAATACATTATTATCAATTGTAAAATTAAGTTGCCTATAAAATAAGAAGATGCCCATTGATAGCGAAAAACTTGCAAAAAAGCATTTAATGTAATCCTGACTATTAGTTCAATGTTAGCTATAACTAGTGTGACCAGGTCCAAAACTTGAAACACTTGAAACATGACATCAAAATACTTGAAAATACTTGACCTTAATTTTTATTTAAGTTTTAATAACAAATTTTGTTTTCGATAATTTGTTTCATTTGAAACTATTTTACATTTTATAAACAATTTGTTATGTTATTAAAATAATATATGAACTTGCTCTAAAAGTATTTTTTATAAAATACACTTTTCTAAACATTTAGTTTAAGTTTTCAATATTTATTTATCATATCAGTGAAAATGAATTTAAAATAAAATTTTCTAAACATTATTTGAAAAATAATTTTTCTGATCTTACTATTGTTGAATTGAAGTTATTGAATTATAATTATTTATCACATCATATTCAAAACATATTTAAACATTTTGGTAAAACCGATAATAATCTTATGCAAAGTAAAATATATTTATTCAAATATAATGATCCACGTGCTTATGTAATGTGTAAATTAGTTTCAGCATAGTTAACAATTGTCTAGACTTTACAAATATAATCAAAACACCACAATTTTCACAATAAAATATTATTTTATTATATCATTTAGAAAAATGATTATATTTGAATATATTGATAATATTATAAATCTACTTAAAATAACATGAATTAAACTTGTATTTGTTTAATTATTGTAGACATTAATCTTGATTATATATTAAACTATAGAAGTTATAGCTTATGGTAGGCCAGCGGCTGTATGGCCCCCATCGACCAACATATTAGTGCCGGTTATAAACGATGCCTCCTTTGCCGCTAGAAATAGCACAGCGAATGCCAAGTCGTCCGATAAGCCCACTCTTTGCGCCGGCATTTTGGGCGCCATATCGACAAACGGGTCCAAAGGGATGTTGTTTGGATCCCAAGTGTATGGACTAATTGGACCAATGCTAAATGTATGTGGATTATATATGCATTATCCATGGGAGTGAGTAAGTGATTTAGTGAGTGAGTGAGTGAGTGAGTGAGAGAGAGAGAGAGAGAGAGAGCCAAAACACAACATACTTAACACTATTAACTCGTATGCCTTTGGGTCCCAACTCAGTGGCCATACATTTGGTGAACATATCAATCGCCGACTTTGCCATACAATACGCCGACTCTTTCGGACTCTATTTATAAAATAAATATTAATTGAAGCATGGTCATTATGGGTCAATATTAAAACTACTATACAGCTCGAGCGCTTCTAATGCTGGATATGTTGATGATGGTGCCCCGGGTCTTCTCCAGGTGCTCCACACAAATGCTGGTCATAAATACCATGGCCTCGAGGTTTGTTTGCATAGTCTTCCTATACTTAACCATAAATAATGGGTCAATGATTAAGGCGTTCTCGTGATGGACGGAACAGTTGACCAAAATGTCGATCCGACCGAATGTGCTCATAGTTTTGTCGACCAGTTTTTGCAGGTCTTCCTCACGGGTGGGGTCGGCCGCCATTTCCAGTACATTAGCGCCAGTATTGCGGCATTCATTGGCTACAGTAGTTAGTCGACTGTCGGCGTACTGTCCGCTCACCACAACACTGGCGCCCGATTTGGCGAATTGTATGGCCGTAGACACAGCCAGACCCGTGTTGGCACCGGTAACCAGGGCTACCTTACCTTTGAAATCGTATGAAAGGGACATTTTAATTAGATTACTGGTAGTGTATAATCTTAATGCCTGTTATAAAATGTTATCTATAATACTATAATATCACTTATATATATATAATTAATTCAATCATGATGATATCAGCAATATTGTGTGATCCGGGTTTTAATATTGATATTGTATGATCCGGGTGTGTTGTTGTTTAAAAATGATTTGACAATTATTGCAATTTAGAAATAGAAAAAGAAACAATCTATTGGTTGCAAGAAAATGGTTGGCAACAGATATTGAGGGCACCGGTAGCCTAGAAATTAGAATTCAAACTAAACTGAACTAAACTAGGAAAATTGTAGTGTTATAAATGTTAAGTAAGAATGAAAATGACATGGCTATTTAAAATGCCAGTCCGCCCACTTAACTGTTGCTTTTAAGTGGGGAACAAACGAATGAATGAATGAATGACTTTTGAATGACTGATAACATTATACAGTATTTACTAAACATCAAAGTTGTCGGTGCTGTCGGTGCTGTCGGTGCTGTCGGTGCTGTCGGTGCTGTCGAAACACAAACACATACTTGAGTTCATAGCCAAAAAAGGCTTCCCCATTGAGCTGCGAACCCACTTTCATGTGTGCCCTTTGAACCTCAGCCCATGGGATAGATAGTGTAAGCGGCAAATTGGGTTAAGGTCAAATAAATGGTCGTATTTTATATACAATACTTTGCCCCACAATAATGCACACAAAACTAATGTTACATAAAAACACACTTTTCAAAACTCTTTACATAGTAATCAAAATGAATCATAAATGTATGAAAATAATGAAATGCAATAATAACTATATTCAATTATTATTTATAGTAATTATTAATATTTTTAACTACATAATAAAATCATGATCATTATATGTAGTTAAATTTACAAAATTGAAATTAATAATGAAATCGTTACTAAATATAGTGAAAATACTGTATATTAAACCCACAATACAGATGCGGTCATATATTTAGAGTCACACGTGTTTTTGTGGTCAAATTAATCGGGAGACCACAACATTTACAATAATTAATCATAACATTAACTCAATCTAATGTGATGAGGCCTTCCCGTGACAACTGAATTGATCTCTGACCAGTTAAATACGCTTTACCTTGGTGGCTCTAAACTTTTGTCGCACTTTTCAAAAAACGTTTTTTACTTTTGGTCACTGCGGTCGAACGGGTAAATATATACTGACCAAAACTGATCAGGATATTTTCTTGTGGTGATACATAACGTAGTGTACCTTAAATTTTAGAGTAACTTCTTGCTTAAGAAACTGTAACTTATAATAATAATAAAATATTAAAAGTCATATCATTTTAAAGCTTTGTTTTCAGACAGTAAATTAAAAAAGAAATGATTTCAATTGAATTTGTATTCAATAAATTATGACTAATAAACGAGAGGTAGTCCTCAAACCCTTTTTGCCATCAATGGCAATCCATTATAAAAATGTATGTGTTTTTGAAACTCGCGACACAACACTGTTCTCGTAATGCTATTCAATGGGAAACTCTCGGAAACCCCATATCAGGACTACCTCTCGTTTATTAGTCATAATTTATTGAATACAAATTCAATTGAAATCATTTCTTTTTTAATTTACTGTCTGAAACCAAAGCTTTAAAATGATATGATTTTTAATATTTTATTATTATTATAAGTTAAAGTTTTTTAAGCAAGAAGTTACTCTAAAATTTAAGGTACACTACGTTAATGTTATGACTAATCATTGTAAATTTTGTAGTCTTGATTAATTTGACACAAAAACATGTGTGACTCTAAATATATGACGGCATCTGTACATTGAGTTTAATACATTTCTTAATCTAAACTTAATAAACATAGTTTATAATCACTGGATTAATAGTTTATAATCATTTTATTTAATATGCTTGTTATACAAATTGAAGTTAAACATTCTATCAAGCTAGAAAATAATAATTGTATAAATAAAATAGCTAGACTCTTATTTCACGTTTTCGATCATAAATTAAATCCTTTTCTCGATTCTGGCGAAAAGCCTTTTAGCGAAAATCATTTTAATGGAGCGCTGGTACTGAAGGGGAACGTCTGTTTTCGGGCACCGGACAAACCGATAGCGAGCTACAGTGTGGGCCAGGGCTAACTTCACCTCCAGTATCCCGAACCGCATACCGATGCAATTGCGAGGGCCGGCACCAAATGGCAAAAAGGTGTATGGTCTTATTTTATGTTTATTCTCGGGCATAAACCTATCAGGATCAAACTTCCAG